GATTTTTGCCAAATGAGTGTCCTTACATGTCAGATGCATATAGAACAATTTGACCATTCAAGAGTGGTATTTCTTTTGCCGGTTAATTTGATGTGTCCTTCCTCCAGCCCTCCGACTCTTGCTTCCGTCCGCCACTGGCCGAATCACAGGGGTGTCAAGTTTCCTGCAGCCTGCCGGAGCACTAAGCTACCAGGCTACCAGTGAGAACCCGCGCACTGGCACGAAACTGTATCTAAAGTTGTCTACCTGCCTATCACAGAAACCAAACATCGCCTGACGTAAGGGGCGGGGAAACACAGCAACACATAAAAAACAGTAAAAACTTCCTTAAATATGTAGTGATTCTGAAATACAGGAAGCTAACTTGATGCTTACATACTACAAATCCCTGCGACGACACATCTGTCCAAACACCGCCTGATACAATGCGGATCGTGTGGATTATGTAGTTCTAAACGATCCAGCCAGGGACCCTTATGACCGGAAAACAACGGGGAGACAAACTGGCCACCTACTTTAATCATGACGCTGCAGATGGCGCTGATCTTGCAGTCGGTGACGCCGATGATGAAACTTGCTACTCTACATTTTATCGCGCTTCTTGAGTTAATGACTTCACTTCTATCACAACACCGAATTCGCATTCTAAACATTTTCGCTGCCCAAACTGTCTGAGACTACTTGATTTACACACTCCATACAAATTTGATTCACTATTTTCAAAAAGGAAGAGGGGTTAATTTATTTCTAAGCACTCACTGCATGCTTCGATTCTCACTCCACTCGCTTTACGCTCAACACAATTCACACGTTTTGAAGCTCTCATTCCTCACAATGGATATCCATTTTATTTTATTCGTAGTAAGACAGAATTTTAAATTTATAATGATCTCTTTAGTTTTATAAGCAGTTCACTTTCTGTACGCTTTTGGAAGATCAGCCGTCGCGAGAAGGTTAAGATACCGGTAACAAGAAAATCCTCTGTATAATGAAGAACCACGAGGACAACTTATAAAGACAATCGTTTCAATAAACCTTCGGAAACAATGAAATACTTAACTGCACTAAATAAACACATGAAATGCCTGATTAAACAATTGCTGGCAGTATGTTCTATCATTATCTGCGTTTCTTAAAACGTCGACAAACTTGTAACGTATCCTTAATATGATTGAACCTAGCCTCCATTTGGATTTTGTCGAGTATGGATAGCTGCCAACTTATCGTTTTTATCTTATGCTATAAACTTACTGCACTCAAGTAATATTCGCTAATTTTTTAAAGTAAAGTCGTTATTAACAATTTAAAACATCCCTTGCCTTGTAAAACTAATCGTCTGAAAATATTTTACAAATTTTAAGCATCGATGATTTAAATGTATCTACTCAGTAAGCTTCCTCATATTAGTTTTACCTATGACGCATTATCAAAGCTTTAAGATAAAGTATACAGCTTATGGAAACGTCTGACATTTGGTAGTATTATCAAACATTTATTTAATATCATTTTGGGGATCTTTCAAGAAAATTGTTTATTTCGACCTTCATATTAAGCATTCTTCACTTTATAACATTATGAGTTATAAGCAATTAATAAATTCAGTTATCAATAAAAAAAATAAAAATTAAAAGAAACGGACACAACAAATGTTGGAACTCCTGCTGGCCAGGATGGACGCAAATAGAAAAACCATGCAAAAAGAAATGAAAAGCGACCGAAAAGACATGAAGGCCGAAAATCTTAGTGATTAGACCTGTTAACAGCCATTCATGCATGCAAATTCCATTATACGTTCGTTCGGGGAGAGACAATTAATGTAATTTGAATTTTGTTTATAAATTCTAAACCTAAACAGAAATTTGCGTCGTTTCTTTCCTCTGGCACAAAAAAAAACACTTGATTTTGTGGATAGCCCCAGTCAACTGCCTAATCAGTGTAGTTAAAGCGGTAATAGCACAGGTCTGACGGTATTTAAGAAATCTGCCAGACTTTATAGGGTTCTTTCGAACTGGAAACCTTGATATTATATCGGCATGTTTCAGACATCATACAACCCCTGTCCATGCTCATCTCACTCCCATGATACACCCTTCTTCATGCTTGCGCCTTCCTTCCCATCCCTTCCGCTAGCTACAGCCGACCTACAGCAACCTTAACCCTGCTGAATACTTGGGGGCAGGTGTTTGACCGCTCGGGGACATCAAGTGACGGCGTTTTTGGTGCATTTCAAGGCCCTTAAAAGGGCCGGCTACACAACTTTCTCGGTCCACTGTCCTTTCTGACCTCACCACTGTTTTTCGAAACGGATTCTATACGCACACAGAAAGTGTGCACGCTTCGGCCCGGAAAATGGAGGCAGTATGTACATCCGAAACGTCGACACCATCGCCTACATCAGTACGGTGTTACAACCCATGAACGGAATCGATATCAATACTCAATTTCTAGATAACATTCTAAAGCGTGTGAGGAGCTACGATTTGCAAATATTCAAACATAATTAACTGACATATGTACGCCTATGCAAATTAATCTTTTGGAATTACTTTCTGCGTTCAACAAGTCACGCTTCATAAAGAAGACAGTAATTTAAAATTCAGTTTAGAATGGTGTCATTCAATTTTTGTTATTACACGAAATTCCAATTGACTTTTCCGAATCTTTATATACTTGGCATAACAACATATGATTACACAAGTTTATTGCATGGACTTAGTGCGAAAGTAATGAGATTTAACGCTTCAGATATTTTCAAGCGTGTAATTAGGGCACGGCACTTACACTGCTGTTCAAACTTAACCACAGCAAACACACACACGTGACGATACCGACCGACCGCAACCGGACCGAAAGATTAAACTGAACTGAACCGAACCGGGGCTCCGATCGCTCCGATTACCTACAGACCCTACAGACAACTCTTTATCACGTGATACTCTATGGGACATTTTATGTATTATAACTAATACTTAAACACTGTATATCTGTAATTCTTTCTTTATATTTTTCATTGTGAATTTTTAAGCGACTTTGTTAGCAACATGATTCTATATCAATTTTAATTCTTTCTTAATAAATTCCTGTCTTTTTTAATCTTGGAACTAAACATGCGATACTTCCCACGGCGTGAACAATAGTCATACGGTCGTGACCATTTTTTTTATTTTTGCTTACGTTTTATTTATTCATTTACTTCGTATCAATCTGCTTATTTATAAATTTATTGATTCATTAATCCGTTCATTTAATGACGCTTTCTGTAGTTCACACTGTATTGCATCCAACCACTGTCATCTTCCAATTCATGAAGCAAAAAATAGCAACTATCATTTACCTAAGATGAGGGACATGATCGACATGATGATGGCCGTAGGCTACACTAAGAATTTTTGTTGACGAATTGATGAATACTATGATATATGGTTTTCGAAACTATCCATCTTTCTGGCCAGATTTCGAAACGGGTATATCCACAACACGAAATATATTTATATAATTACCGTAGTTATAATTATTATTATCTGGACACTGTACCACATCATATACTGTACAGTCATATATTCCAGCGAGCAAATTTAACTCTATAGAGATAATCTGCCACTTGGAACAGCGTTCAACACATCTAAAAACTAGGAACCAGGATGGATCCTAATGAAAATGGTTTGAAATGACAGGGTCTGCTTATTTCACCTTCTAAAAGAAACAGTGTTAACATAAATTACAAACCATGGCAAAATATAACTGTATTTAAATGGACTACTTCAAGTTCAGTACTGCTGTTATGGGCCAATGAAATCGATGGGAAATTTCGAATATCGAATTGAGGACGCGGTTAATCCCTAATCTAAAAATACCAACCGGAATGAAAGAATAAAATTTGGGGATGTTTAGCATCGTTATTAATGCAGAACAATTAGAAGCTTAGCCTCAGTAATGGAAACATTTCTATAAGAGGTTAGGGCCACCATCATTCATTTGATATAGTTAAGGGCTATGGGTTGGATGGCCGAGGAATGGGGGGTAAACTCCTGGTAGGGACGAGGGGGGTTTTTCTTATGCACAACATCCAAACAAGTTCTGGTGCCCACCCATCCAATATGTGCCAGGAGATCAAGCAGCTGGGTCATGACACTAACCACTCACCTATATCAATTGCCAAAGTTAAGAATGAGTGGTATCATACCTTCACTTCCTCATACATCTTCATGACAAGGTGATTACTTAATTATGCACATACAGGGACTTCACTTTTCTACAGGCTTTGTTTAAGACGCCGACAAGCGGCTGTCGCTTGGTCGGTATAGTTCACTTGCAGACTACAGGCCATGGAGTTCATTCTTTTTTTGTTTGTAATTTATTCAACATACAGCAGCAACAAAGGAATTTTATTTAGTACTGATTCTGCTGGTAAACTTATTGGCCAGCAACAGCTTCTCTGACCTCAGGGATCATTTTCATGAAAATGTTTATGTTGAAGTATTGAAGATTACGACTGAACTATGAATAAGTGAAATGGAGATCCTAGTCTTATACATTCTTACTTCCTAGCACTATGATGGTGACTATTTACACTAGGCCACAGTTGATCATGTAATTCTTGTTGCTGAACATTCTTGAAATTAACAAGTGACATACACAAATAGAGTTCACTCAGAAGTGTATTAAAATCTTCCTGGAGGTGAATTTATGCAGTTGTAAAAATAATCATATTGCCATTGTAATATATATACATATCAAGCATCTACTACAAGTTATTCTGATGGGTTCAAATCAGAGCCCTCAAACACAATTTAACTGAACCAGTACATATGGACCTATCTAGGCAGGGCAGGTGAACCAACCAGCTGCCTATTTGAGATTTTGATCTGATATTACTTTAGTTTCAAATCCTTTTACCTTCTTCAGATTCAATTGCTCCATACAGAATATCTGCAATTTCTTGTTTGCTTACTACCAGACACCAAACAGTGGTCAGCAATACAAGCTGCTTTCCTAAGATCAGACAAAGTATATTGCATTTCATCTCCTGTCATTTAAGATGTGATCAATCTACGTATTCTTTATCAATTAGATTTTTGGATGTGGTAAAATTTACTATCCAAATGCCATTATCATACTAGTTTAATATAAGATCTACTTCCTTCCCTTCAACTTCCCTCTCTACTTTCACACTGAACTATCATAAACAAAATATTCAAGTGCTACTTCAGAACTTCATCAAATACACGTTCTACACAGTGCTTTGATCCTTAGTTGGTGCATGAATATCACACAAGCGGACTTTTCAATAATCAATTAATAACTCAGTTATAAGCTGGTTCAACACCACCCGTGTCTCAATCCACCTCTTGTACTTCCATTAAATCTTACTTATACTTTACTAACCCTCTTGGAACTGTTTTCAGTGGACATGCCTTCTAGAGACTTGTAATGTTCCAAGTTCCAAATCTCATTTCTATTTTTCCAGTGCTCATTGTGTTCCAAAGAATATGTCCATAACAAAAGCCTGTACAACACTCTGTAACACGCTAATTCTATACAGTAAGATGATGTTAGCCCTCTCCAAACCCCAAGCTGGAAGACCACTCCCTGTGCTTTGTCTCTAACTGCTCCTTATTTGGAAGCTGTCTCCTTCCTCCCCCAAATGAAGATTCATCTGCCAGAAATGGACACAAAGAAAATAATCTATAACAGGTTAGTACCTGTAAATGGTATTACTGAGTAGAAACATTTGGCTAAAAAACATATAATGTAACTATGTAAGTTTTGAGGTTTTCACGGCGATGACTATGAAGAAAGTCATCTTCTGGGTTTAGGCGCCATGTATTCTTCGTTTTGGCCGACGTTTCGGAGGAACAGCTACTGCTCTCTGCATTCCAAGCCATTCACCTGCTCTGAAGATGGAGGCGATACGTTCCTCCGAAATGTCGGCCAAAACGAAGAATATACGGCGCCTAAACCCAGAAGACGACTTTCTTCATATAATGTAACTGTTTATACTGATAGACAGATCAGTCAATTATGTTGTATGCTCAAAGCAAACACATTTCTCTCTACAGAAAGTGGTATTAGCCTAAATACACTAAATAATATCTGCAGAGAAAGTTTTTTAAAATGTTTCAAGGTTACAGCCATTCTACCATTGTTATATGCATCTGAAAACTCAAAGCTTGTATGTATGTATGTATGTATGTAAGTAAGGAGTGGGCCATAGAAACTGGCCCACACACTGTGACCTTCAATGATCTATTGTGTTTCCCCTTGGATTAGCCCTTTATTAATCCTACAGTTTTAATAAAGTGCAAGACCTTGCTTATGAGGGTGTCATAAAAATTACTTGGTTCCATAAAGAACTGACCCAAGTGACAAAATCTTAAAATACGCTATGGCCTCACAATCACACAGGGTGTGTGTGGCTGATTCATTTTCTTGTAGGCACCTTTCACAGGTTGGGTTATCTGTCAGTCCCAGTTTGAAAAGGTGTCCTTTTAGGTGGTAGTGTCCAGTAAGTAACCCTACCACCCATCTTAGTTGATCTCTATTTAATCTCAACAGACCAACTCAAAGCTTAGTATGGTTCAACTGATGAAAAAAGCAGCTGCACAAATGTGCATCTGAGGGTAGCTGAAGGAGGCAATTTGCTAGACAAACATAATTAATATTCAGTAACTGAACACACTGTTATGGAGACAACTGAAAACATCATTTAACACATGATTCCAATAGTTTCTTTGATGTAGAACCCAAGAGAACATGGGCCTAACAGTGGCCTCGAGATGAGGTAGTAACAGAAACAATTTTAATTGATGACGGTGATGATGATAGCAGTGGCAGTGATGATAATGATGCACGTAAGGTGAAATGCTCATGCCTCTATGTCGTATATAACTCACAACATGGAAACATAACTTTATGATCATTACAGTTTGACTTACATAATAAATTGTTACTGACATACTGTTACATTTCAATGCAAGTAATAATGAATTGTATTCAAATAAAAATTACAATTCTGATACAAAAGTCGTGGAAGAATACGATATAATAATAACAGTAAAAAAATGAGTGTCCTATCACTTAACATTAAGCATAAGACTGGCAGCTGACAACTCAACAGTATTGTTAATTGATCTGAGATGTCTCTGTACATAACGTAATTCTGACATCACTTGACAGAATTACCAGTTACTCAGGAAACTCTCCTCCAGGGTCTGGTACAATTCCAAGTTATGGCCCATCCTATGGGAAGAAAAGGTAATATTATAAATACAGGTTAAGAATATTGTGTAATGTATACAATCATCATACAAATCAAATTTTTTGACTGAAACAGAAAATAAGCTTACAATATTCTACTTTATAATCATATTAGCAAGTTCGAAGATAAAATTAAGATGTAAGGAAGTAAAGGCAAAAGATGAAAAGGATGGAAAATTGCAAAATTCAATACCCACAGTAAAATTCTCTCTCCTCTGCCCCATCTATCCCCTCTATACATTAGACGAAGTTTTAGAGAAAGATAAACAATTCAGTTATAAGTCTGTATGTTCCATTGGCTCATATAGTCAATTGGACACATTTAAATTATTCTCATAACTTCATTTTGACAGTGATGAAATCTGAACACTCCACATGACAAGTGAAAGGTGTAAGCGTAAATCCTACAAATGAAACTTTATACAATTTTTCAGAGTCAATAAAATTATTAAACACACTTCCTAAACATATTTTTGTTCCAAAATATCGTGGCGTTCCGCCTAAAAGCCAGAATACCTGAATAAAAAGGGGCACCCAGTGTTAGGCAACAGCTAGGTATCCACGGTTCCAAAGCGTTGTTCGGGTGACAATGAAACAGGTTGAAGCAACAATGCATACATAAGAGACGTTACCATGCAAGTGAAAAACCAGACAAGTAAAGTTCCTGCAGCAACCAATATGCTGGAGACTGCTGCATTGGATAACGCAAAATAGGAACCCTAAGGGGCGGTGTCTGCTATTCAGCATGCCAAGAACTTACCTCAGGGAGATTACACCAGATGTAACCAGAGAAAATCAGAACAGACTGGAGCAGATATGACCAGACCACATTGGAGATGAGAACAGAGAGAGACAAGAGCAGAAACTGACAAGAAGTCTTCACATGGCACAGCAGAGTGAATATTAGTGTGAGATCATTGTTCATAGTTATAAAGTGTTATAATTATCATGTGTGATAATTGTCTGTAGTTCCGCCTGGCATAATTCTCCAATAAATCACTTCCCCAGATCAGTAGCCGATTAATTATTTTTCACAGAACTCCGGACATGTGACAATATTAAGTGCCCATTTTCAGTACACCTTCTGATTAATGATATGTGTCCTTAATTTGTCCTTGTCATTAATTTACTTCACTTTTAATAAGTGGTTCATAATAGCAGAATAACATATAATCATACAACCTATACAAAATTCTATCAAAAGAAAATAACTTACTCTTTAAACCCAGCTGCAATTTCTTCAATTTTTGAAGGATGGCACACAATGCTTGTCCTTGATGTCTCAGGGTTGAAAAGTGGTGCCACATATTTAGGGCCCACTTGATTCAGATCATCTGCTGTAACTTGAGAGATCAGCTGTACCAGCTGTCTGTTAAGGAAAAATGTGTGATATGAATCAGCAATCTTCCGCAATAAGACCTCTTTATATGGATCACAAAACCCACATAACATACAGAACTGCAGAATCATTTTTGAGAGTAGAAGGGTAAATAAAGTAAAGCTATCCCTGTATGAGCCCTTGAAGGCCCATAGGGTTGTGAGACATTGAGGCTCCCAAATTATCTAGACAATCGGCTCAAAGATGGCAGCCGCGCTTCAGTCACCAGGAAAATTATTTAATTAATTCCTGGTACTCATTTCTGTTAGAGGCTGAGTCAACCCCAGGGCCTAGAGAGGCTGGAAGGATTATGTCAACTGAAAAAAATCCAATGACCTCATCGGGACTTGAACCCACGACCTTCCGGCTTGTAGCATAGGCCCTCAACCAACTATGCTACTGCATACCCCCCAAAAGTAGAAGGTTCACAGGATAAACAATTTACTCTATATTTTGTCATGCCAATATTAATGATCACAAACTTGAATTCTCTCGCCCTTTTTTATTTACCTGTTGTAATCATGATCAACCCTTTTGAAGTATGACAGAAGGGACTGTGTCACAATGTCACCTACGCTCTTTTCACGCTCAATGATCTCAAAAATAAGAGAACTCTTTGCAGATTCAAACAAATTTTGGTCCCATTTTGCTCCAGCAGTCACTTGAGCATTCTGAAATAATACACATGGGTAAAAATATTATTCTCTACTATTCTGCAACATCAAATTGAGATTTCATTGTCTGACTTTCTTACTACTCACCACTATATTCTTAGTTTCTTTGTATGCCAATACACAGTTTGTTGCTCGGTAGAAGGACAGGTAGAGTAACCCTTCGTGTGGCCGAGGTACTATGCTGTAACCATACGAAAGGCCAAGGCCTCGTACCTGACGCCACAGTGGACCCTACAATACTAAATTCAGTAGTATCCAAACATTCCACTCAAGAAAACAAAATTTCCATCACACTGCATCATCATACTTGGGATTAAAAATTGCTGTTTATATAGAGTGGCTAAAGTCAGTTAACTGGTTACTAAAATGTACACTAAATTATACTAGAAATTTCTTTATTGCTTACTTAATTAAAAAAAAATGTTCAAAACGAGATCCTTCATGTTCAATGCACAACTCGCAATGCTGCAAATTGGCTGGAAGGTTTAAATCTGAATGTTCCCACTAACACGAGAGAATGTTTCAGGTTAACTAACTTTTGGGCCATTCTGTTCTTCAGTCTGAGAGGAAATGGAGTAACATGACTGAGAACATGAAGACACTTAGTTGAAACACAGTATATTTTTTTATTGCTAGTGGGGTGGGACTAAGTCCCTTGTACTGCCGCCACTTCTGGCCTATTGTACCAGCCCCAGATGACAGGTGAGGGTGATTGTGGAGCAATTGATGGAATGAAGATTGGCAGGGGAAACCTAAGTACTAGGTGGTTCAAATATGGCCGGGACTGATTTTTTTGTAAACAAGCCGCACTGCGCAGCAGCTGTGCGACCTTGAGAGAGTGAAGCCACAACCTCCACCCTCCCTCCTGTTAGTGTTAGAACCTGTTCAGTCCTGTCTGGAAATTGCTAGAGTGATGAGTGAACAGAAGCTACCGCTGAGCATGGAACAACGCATTGTGATCAAATTCCTCGGAGAAAATGTCCCGTCCATTGAAATTCACCACAGACTCCAACAACAGTATGGGGAAGAGTGTCTCTCACAGACCTGTGTGTTTGAGTGGTTAAGTGCTTCAGAGAGGGCAGAGAACACATGGAGAATGAACCGCATGATCATCGGCCACGAACATCCGTCACCAAGCCAAACACTGATCATGCAGACGCACTTATTCGTGAGAACAGGCGCATCACTATCAAGGAACTTGGAGCAATGCTGTCCATCAGTGTTGGTAGTGTAGAAGACATCATGAAATACCACCTGTACTATCACAAGGTGAATGCATGGTGGGTACCACGCACTTTGACGGATGTGAACAAAATGGTGCGCATGCAAGTTGCCAGTCGTCTCCCACAGCAGTTTGAAGTCGAAGGTGATGCATTTTTGAAGTCTATACTGACCACCGATGAAACATGGGTGCACTACTTCATTCCCGAGTCCCAGCAATCATCATGCGAGTGGCGGCATACCGGTTCTCCCAAACCCAAGAGAGCGCAGAGCCGTTCGGCAGGAAAATTGATGGCAACGTTCTTCTGGGACTGGCAGGGGGTTATCCATGTAGACTTTCTGACAGATGCCAGAACAGTCAATGCAACTTATTACTCAGACCTCCTGGCAACAGACGTGAAGGAAAAGATCCGATCCAAGCGAGTAGCCATCCTTCAAGACAATGTATGCCCCCATACGGCCAAAACAACAATGGAAACACATCCGCTGTAGAGTCCTGATTTGGCACCAAGTGATTTCTACCTGTTCGGAAGGCTCAAATCAGACTTGCAAGGCATGTGGTTTGTGGACAATGCCGTCATCCAGAATGTTCGGGAGTGGATACTCCGCCAACCACAAAACTTTTTTCAAAAGGGTATCAGGATGCTTCCAGAACGTTGGAAAAAATGCGTTGATGCCAAAGGGGAGTACATTGAAGACCGACATGTGCAAGTAAGTGTTTGGCAATTTTGGTTTAAAAAAAAATTCAGTCCCGGTCATATTTGAACCACCTTGTACTTGGAGAAAACTTCCCCAGTGCCACTTTGTTCACTCCAAATACCATTTGACCAGACCTGGGATCAAACCCAGGCCGCTATGGTGGGAAGCCAGCGACTAACCGCTTGGGCCCTACTGACACCTAACAAAGACATCAGGCCAAGCCAAGCAGCAAAACTTTATCCTAGGGCAAGATTGAAACTAAGGTGTCAGATGAAATTCTGCTGACAGTAGTTTTCCTCATTGGTCACAAGTTTAAGGCAGCAACATTTTACAAAATTACAACTCATTGGTCCATTCCTCCTGGGACACCCTGTATACAGGGTGTCCCAGGAGGAATGTCCCAAACTTTGGGAGGGTGTTCCTTATGTTAAAGTATGCCGATATAACCCAAAACACCTATATCCAAAGTTGAACGGTTATGGAGATAATGGCCCGAGAAAAGTGTGATCTTCTGGTGGGTCCTGTCAGCTGAGACGTCTTATCTATGTCTGTCCTTGAGTGTGGTGATTCACACTAGCCGTAAGCTCATGTGGCTCATGTGCTACCTACAGAGTACGTTGCGGCAGCGTCGTGAATGGTTGGTAAATTAGTTGTGTGGAGTTGATGAAATGCCTTTTGTGTTTTCACACGTGGAATATTGTGATATGCATTTTGTGTATGGATTTTGCGGTGGCAATGTAAGTGCTGCTGTTGAAGAATACCAAAGGCATTTTCCCAATTGAAGGATTCCATCACGACGTGTATTTACGCGAATTCACCAGACATTGCGTGATACTGGTTCTCTTCCGAGTGTTTCTGTGCACTCTGAAAGGGAGGATGTACAAATGAGAAACACACGAGAGAACATTCTTGAGATGGTTCAGAGAAGTC